GGGGGGTGGTAGCCCCTGTGGGGGCCATTTGGCCTTTCTTGGGGGTCCATAACCCCTGTGTGGGGCCGTAGCCCCTGTTGGGGGGTTATATTCCCTGTTGGGGGGGCATTTGGCTCTTGTTGGGGGGCTATAGCCCCTGTTGGGGGGCCTTAGCCCCTGCGGGGGCCATTTTGCCCCTGTTGGGGGGCCATAACCCCTGTGTGGCCATAGCCCCCCACCAACAGCCAGTGCTTTAACACTGTAGATATATCAATAAAACATTGCCCAACTGATCGCTGTCTCTGTCTCACTCTCTCTCTATTTATAGTGGTCTTTTGTTTTAATTGTGGAGGAACATGGATTTCAGTGTATTTTACAGAGTGACTTTGGGATTTTTTTTTTATAAGGGATTTTTCAGTTTTCCAATAGAGAACACCAGAATTCCTGCTAGGGAGGCCAGTGGCAGGATGTTGCCTGCTCAGAGCTGACACCTTGGACCCAGCTGGCTGTGGCTGACCTGGCCAAATGGGGCTAGGAGGACATGCTTTGACAGTTCAAAGCAGGCCACCAGGCCTGGAACATCTTCCAGGTGATAGCTACCCAGGTGGCCAGGCAGGGGGCACAGATGGCAGTAGTGCCGCACAAAGGCCAACCTTGCAGTCCCACCCTTGCGGTCACAGCACACGGGCAGGTGCACAGCAGGTCACAGCCAGGCAGCAGCCCCTGCTGCCAGACTGCTGCGGTGGGTAGAGGGTACAGGGAACTCTCAGGGCTGCTTCAGCAGTCCAGCTGGCACAAGGGGTAGTGTCCCCAGGTACCAATTGGCTGGGCCCCAGAAGCTCCTGAGAGCGAGTAGTCCTGAGCTACTTGCCAGGGCAGCTATTTTTACTGGTGGAGCCAAGACAGGGCAGCTTTTTGTATTGCTGGGGACAGCACAGGTGCTGGCCCCGGGCTCTAGCGCCCCCTGGCTGCAGATCTGGAAGGCACCACGCAGGGTTATTTTGGCCCAAGTGGCACAATTTGCTCCACAACAAAGTGCATGTCCGAGCACGTGTGCTGAGGCAAAAAGCCCCGACTCAAATTTGCACTGCTTCTATTTGAGCTGCTGCAAGCACACATGCTTGCCTGTGTGGATGTGCCCTGTGAGTCTTGTGATGAGTGGATATTTACTCCTTCTTCCTCCTGACCCACTCCCTCCCCTTTTGTCTACCTCTTCACCTCTGCTTCACTCTGCACTTTCTCCTTTTACAGTTCTCTTCCATTTTTTTCCCCCCAACCGGGAGGGGGTGGTCCCCCAGTGGCCAATCCTGCTGGCTGGGGGAGGAGTCCCCCCAGCTTTGGGTTACAGCCTGCTTCCGGCTGGTACTCATGGGGGGAGCACTGGTGCTCCCGCCTGCCTCCATGCCTGCCGGCTAAACAGGGGGTGCCCTGGTGCTCTCAGGGGGTGCATGTGTACCCTTGTGTACCCCCTACATGACACCCCTGACACTGACTGCATGTTTGCTCCCATTGCATTGTTCAAATTGCTTGCGTGTTATGTCCTTTCTAACCGCCACCTGCCTTCCCTGTTTGGAACATAGTTTTTTAGGACAGGGTCTTTCTGTTTGCATTTTTTCAGAGCCAAGCAAAATGTCCTGTATTGCAGACTTTCTTCTCCTCTAAGGCTGAAGGTCCTAGCTGCTGGTGTAGCCAAGGAAAATCTTTGATGTGGAGGTGTCCACCCCTGTTATCATGATCCAGGTGACTTATTTGCTTTGACGTAGCTGTTAAAGCTGTAAGTTTGGAAAACAAAGGAAGAGATATCTTCAATTCAGCATGAATATTCATTACCTCACATATGCAACCAACACCAATAACTCCTTCCATTTCTTGCTCATCCTCCCTCATGACCCATTTCTTGCTGTCCGTCATAATTAGTTCTCTCATGCTCTCCTTTGCTCATGCTTCCTACATGTTTTACTGCCTTCCTTCTTTTTTTGCTTTGGATGGGTTATTTCTCCATCCCCATATTGTGGCTTTACCTACATTGCTTCTATTGGCTCTGCCTCCAAGGTAGGGTAAAAATGAAATCTTTGAGGACCAAGGGTAGTAAAACAATACACCAGGTTACCTGGAGAGGTGGTGGAAGATCCATCCTTGGGGGTTTTCAAAACCCAGCTAGACAAAGCTTTGGCTGGGATGATCTAGCTGGGGCTGGTCCTGCTTTGAGCAGGGGGATGACATCCTGAGGTCTCTTCCAACCCTAACTTTCTATGATTCTATGATTCTACCTGTGATTTAGAGTCTTCTCATGGGAGGGACCTCTGTTTAAATCCTTCTATAAAGGCATCTGGTTGTAGAGACCCTGCCTACAGTGCTCAAGAGTTCAATGCATAGGAGTTTCCCAAGCTGTCAGAATGCTTAATAGGTGTGCATCTACTGAGTGGGCCCACGCAGGTGTTGTCTATATGTTGATCTGTTTACCCCTCTGTCTCCTTATCTAAATCCATAAAACAGAAACTAATATTGCTGATATAGGACTCCCTCCCCAACCTTTGTAATTTTGTGAAGGATTAAATTTCAGCTACAAGCCCAAACCCATCTGCTCTCCATGAGTTAAAACAAAAAACAAAAAACTGCTGGCTGCAAAGTTCTCCCACAAATCCAGATGAAGTATTGACATGAGAGCATCTCTGAAATGTTTGTGCATAGACTCCATGGTAGAATCTTCATTACTGAAAGTAGGAACCTCTACCTCTGAAGGTGAAAGGGGAACTCAGTTAGCTACTAGCAATACGCTCCTACCATGCAATTATAGCTCCTGCCTGCGGGAGATGTGAGACAGTCTGCAAATGATCTAAGTTTACAACCCTAGTGCATTTGCAACCAACACCCCCCCTCCCCCATTATTTGCCTTGCCTTGCTGTAGTCAGCAGCATGAATTAACCATGGGGGCATGTGGTTTATTTTCATAATAGCAAAGCTTGTCCAGTAAATTTTATCTCCTCCTGCCCACCTTCTCCCTCTGAAGAAAGAGCGGGGTTCTGTTCTTCACTCCCACTGCAAAAGCCCTTCAGCGGAAGCAGGAACATTTGTTTCCAATATACAACAATGAATGTGGATGGTAATTAGCAAGGAATCTTTAAAAATCCATATCCACTATGTGATTCTCTCAGTCTCCTGTGCTGAATTTTTGTTACTGTACCCTATGAGAAAAAGATCCTTCTTAAAATGATTATGCAGCCTGCTTATTCCAGTTTGGGTCAGGGGCAAAATAGAAATGGTCGATCCGTTATACTTCACTAGGAAGATCCCCATATAGCTCCTCATAGCTGTGACTTCTCTATGCATTAATGCAGACTCTTAATCCACCCCAGGTTCAATTTTGCAATTTGCATGCCAGAGAGGTGGCATGTATGTATGTGGG